CTCCGCAGACTGTCTTCTTTCCTGCCCCTTGGTTGTTTATGCAGACAGATTTTAGTGCATCGGTGGTGACGTGAGAATCCATAAGCATTTTATCTTACAAATCTCCTTCACTAAAATATTTTTTGTTCCTTTCCATTTTCACGTGCATTTTTATGACATGAGAAACTCCCCGCAGTCCTGAGCAAGAGGGACCTGTTGCTGCTGATTCATTGCGGAGTTGGGTGCTCTGTAATATCTCCAGGTTTTGATGACTCTTTCCTTGTCAGTGCATCTGCTTCAAGCAGCTGTGAGGCCTCTTCTTTAGCCTGTTCTTGTTCAGAGATGTGCCTTGGCTTTCACACTAGTTAAAGGAGAATATGTTGAGGCCGAAAACAGCAGCGTGGTGTCCGGGGGGGGCACAGAGCTGCCTCTGTCTCTGCCCCCCGTTTGGACTCGGGAGGCAGAACTCTGCAGATGCTTTGGGACACGAGCTGCTCACAGAAGTCCCTGAGAACGTGAGGTGCTCATTGGCTCTGCTGGTGGTCCCGGCAGGCTGGTGCTGGAGGTGGCCGCCTGTGTGAGCCTGTCCGGTACGAGCAGCCCCTCTGTGCCCTTACCTTCTCCCTGGGATGGAGAGCTCCGTCTCATCCTGGTTCCTCCTGCTCTGCTGAGCTGACCAGACGCCGTTATGTCATGAACCTCTTGTTTTCGGCATTGGGACTGAGCAGCTTTATGCACTGTTTGACACTGGTTCCAGTAAAAGGCTTATTCATGTGGTTTGTTCAAATAGCCATTTGAAGTAGGGGAAAAGTGTTGTGATCTACAGCAGAACTTGATCTGGCCCCTTTCGGGTACACCCACCTCTTTGGAACCAAACTACATTCTGTAGGTCCTGTTTTGTCATGGTTTTAAAGCTGAGTGTTTGCAAGGATAAGGCCACAGGAGCAGACCTAGGCCCAGTAATTGGGCATTACAGCTTCCCTATGGATTTGAGCTGGATGGACAAGCAGGCTGAGAAGAGCAGTACACTTATTTGACCAGTATGACTGGAGAAAATCAGTCTGGGGGAATATAATAAAGAATTGGATAGAGGATATGAACCAAAACTTGGAGCATTAATCCTGTTGTGCTTTGCGGTGGATGAGTACGGCGTGACTCGTGCCTGCTTTGGGGATAACTGAGGTTTTGCATAAGGTTCATGTTTGGGAAGGCTGTTTCATCCTTCCTGCTAGGCTCTCCTCTCTTTTCCCATCATCCAGCAATGTGGGAGCTGGGATGGCAAGAGAGGCTTGTTAGCATGAACACACTGGGGTGTGTGTGCAGGAGGTAACTGGCGTGATGTTTAGCTAGGAGCTCCTTTGAAGGAAAGGGAAGGGGTGCTCTAAGTTTCACTTCAGGTTTTCTTCTCTTTCAGATGGGACATTTATTTGCAGAGCTCTCCAGAGCTGTGCAAGTCTTGATTAATTGCTATTCACTTCATTGATTGCTATTAAAGAACTTTGAGATTCCTCGATGAGGAATGCTGTGTTAAGGAACCAGCTTATTAACTGAGATAGAAGTTCAGGCTTCTGATGGCCCGACAGTTTTGCCTTGCCATGATCTTGCCAACTCAGCTATCCTTATTTTGTGTTCATTGTTCATGTTTCCACTAATTAATTTTGAAGCATCAATATTAAGACCTGGTGAAAAGCTATAGGCTTCTCAGGCTCTTGGAATAGATCTGAAACAGATCTCGAGCTCAACTCTCACTTGCACGGTCAAGCTGTGTAAATGAGTTGTCAGAACTAGGGTTTCCCGGCTCCCACCGCCCCGCGAACCCGAGCGCCGCTTCCCGTCAGCTCCCGCCCTGCTCTCCTGCTCCTGCTGTGCGGGAGGTGCAAGTAACGGTTTGGGGAGAGCAGTAAACGCAGAGTGACTTATGAGGGAGTTATTGCTCTGTTCTGTCTAACCTCACAACACTAAGGGGAGGCAGGTGGGCAGATGCTGCTTTTCTGTGGCGCCTGAAGGTTTGTGGGTTTCATGCACATCTCTAAAAACCCCATTTGCCTTAAAACAGCTTGATTTAAAACAGAGCTAGACTGTAACTATGGAAGATAATCGCCATAATTGCCCTGTAATTTTGGACAATTTTGTTAAGGTTAAATTTCCTGTTCCACATAGTCTATGACAGTTATGTAAATGGCTTTTAGGATGAATGTATGGTGTCTTTTCTAATAAATGCAAGAAAGATAATGAAGCATGGTTAAAAATAAAGGTGGCTCTTGAGAGCTCCCCTGTAAATACATAGAGCTGGAGTCCTGGAGGGCTGCCTGTTTGATCGCCGGGTGCCTGTTCGGAGGGTTGTCTGTGCTGGGTGCAGTATCGGAGTCCGTGGGTTCTCCTGGCAGCCGCCCGGCCCTGGGCAGCAGCATTGGCAGTGCTGCCAGTCTGGGGCTGGGCTGTGGAAGAAGGTGGCCCGCTTGGGAGCGAGTCACCACGTAGCTGCTGGAAGCGACCGAGGCCCCCGGGATCCCAGAGCCTTGGGAAGGGGGATGCCTGAGCCCCCGCGGCTCCGGGATGCGCCCGGCTCTTGTGCCTAAAAGCAGCCCCCAAACCAATTTCTGCAGCTGATCCAAGAGAGCCGGTAGCTGCACTGCCTGTTTGATTTGCTTAGTTTTGCTGTTCGGGACAAGCTGTAATAAAAGGCAGCTTCTAAAAAGGGGGCCTTGGGACATGGAAAAATCTTTTTAAATGTAGAAGCAGGGATAGCTCACTGAGCCTCACCTTCCCCAGGGGATGGAGAAGTGGGATGGAGAGATACCTAAGGCAAGGGATGATTGAGGAAAGATACGGGTCGTCGTGTTGTTCTAATCTCAACAACAACAAAATGTTCTTTTTTTAATAAAACATGGCAAAAGCCATGTCTATAATTTGACAAGGAAAAAAACTGTCATGTAAGAGTATGTTTTAAAACGTGGCATTTATTGCTGTAGCTATTATTGAAGCCAAAAAAAAAGCATGAAGACAAGAAAATCAAAGGGGTACTTTGCACAGATAACTCAATTTTGATAGATCCTCCAAGCTCCAAATATTAAGCGTTTTGCTTTGAAGCTTGAGGCAGTCATGAGCTCTGGAAGGCTATGAGTTTTCTGCACCTTTCTCTGAAGCATCTGGCTCTAGCCTACGTCAGGTTTTGTGTTCAAATACTCCCTATCAATAGTGACTGTAGCAAATGGTGAAATTCTTTCTTCACTTATTAGGCCCAAGGTTTAGCATCTCTACAGCTAAAGTTTTTAAAGCAACTAATCATTATTCTGAAGAACTTATGCCTCAATGAATTACTAAATTTCTTGGCTTAATCACATTTGATGACTCTACTCTATGGCTGATAAGACAGGGCTTTGAGTAGCTTGGCTTAATCACATTTGATGACTCTATGGCTGATAAGACAGGGCCTTGAATACCCTAAATTTACAAGTGGCAAGAAAACAGTGCCACTCCACTATGTCCTTGTGTGTCCTTGTCATAGATTTAAAATAAATGCAGGCCTGCAAAACATAGATACTAATTCTTTATGCAAACTGATAGTAAAGCAAAGTTTATATGTAGTTTGGGTTTTTTGTTTGCTTGTTTTGGGAGGGAGTCTTTTTTTTCCTTTTTCTTTTTGCTATCCCTTTAACATTTATGGAGATCTTGGGTATTAGGCTTTTAAGCTGCTTTGTTGAAACTCATTTGACAAGGACTCGCACAGATGGTGCTTTACTTTCTGTCTGAAATGTGACGCTTTTTAATTTCCCTTGGGTCCTCTCAGTGAATCTGGCTAGCATTTCTCCAATAGATATACGTCTCCTGTTTCTGTGATTTGCTTCTCTGAAACCAAATTCAGTCTGATAGCTGCAGTATGTGGGTGCCTCTAACAGTAGCCCAAGCTAGCACCTTGTGGCTTGTTTCACCTCTGGTATATTTTATATATATCATGATGTCACTAATGCTTAGGCTCTGATATGGAGAAGTAATAAAATACTGAAACCTACTTGTATTCAAAGCAGATTTTTTTTCCCCTGCATCAACAGTCTGGTTTTGAAGAACTAGCAAAAGATGGCTATCAAAAACATAATACATGACTAAATGAGTATTATTGCTCTGTCCTTGACCTGGCTTAATGCACAGCATTAATGCTGGCAATGAAAATGTGCTGTGTGGACGCTGGCAGCTCGGAAGATGCTGTGGCACCTGGGAGCACCACGTACACCTTGCACTGGCTCATGGTTCACGCACGTACAGCTTAAAGATAGCAGTCATTAATCTCATTGACTTCGCTCCATCTGCCAGGCAGACTCTTACAGGTGGATGCCTGCTTAAAACGTTACATTTTTTGCTTTATAACATCTATTAGTGAAAGCTGCAACAGGGTTCTTCAAGCGCCGCAATCCAGCGGCGGGGGTGTCTGTCCAGCTGCCTGCTTGTGTGTTGGAGGGCACTGACTGCAGCATCACCTGGCAGAGCTGAAAACAACATGAGAACCCCCAGAAACAAAGAAAAAATATAAATATATATTAAAAATATATGAAGTCTAAACCGACGTATGCTTTGCTGAGAAGCTGGATTGGGAGGAGGAGGGCTGGGAGGTGGAGCGAGCTGCTAACGCTCAATCTCTTTCAGCGATTTGGTCTTTGCAGAAGTAAGTCTGACTACCTGTAGGGAAGAGGCACATATAGAAATGTCTGTTCATGTTGGTCGGTCTATGTGTTGAAAACACAGTCTGTCTTTAACAGCACTGTCCAGTCAGTAGCTCGTAGTTTCCTCCTAGGGAGCTTTTATGGGATTCTGCCTATGCGTAGGGCCTCTGTGTGGGTGCTGCGTGTGACTTGCAAGAGGCCTGTGTTGACCCTTGTACAGCATCTAAAGATCTGATCCCAGAAGAGGAGATGGGTGTAGGAAAAGGTTATATTGTTTTGCATCAGAGAAATATAGAGGTAAATAATTTCAATTTAAAAATCTGCATTTACTAATAAGATTTGTTTTCTAATTCTCCTAGGCTTTTGGGCAGGCCCATACCAACCACAAGAAGGTGGCAGCAGATGGAGAGAGCAGAGAGGAGACCTTGATACAGGAGTCAGCTACTAAGGAAGAGTACTACATGAAGAAGGTTATGGAGCTGCAGACAGAGCTGAAGCAGCTGAGAAACGTCCTTGCCAACACCCAGTCTGAAAATGAACGCCTTAATTCTGTTGCACAGGAACTGAAAGAGGTAAGGGAGGATGACAGTGCATATCACAGCTTATATTGTGAGTATACATCCTTGGCCTATGTAACCTTAAGGAAGATGCTCGGGTTGATCAATATCTGCCTATCACTGGCAGCTGGTAAGGTGAGTTTTGTCCCTGAGCCTTCAGTCAAGTACTGCATCCATATGCAGCTAATTCAGTGATAGAGTAAATCCAGCTATCCGCGTCCATCCGTTGAACCAAGGTGCTGGGCCACAATGGCTAAATGTTAGGATCTTTCTGCTGAGCTTTCTGGGCGAGTTAAATAGCTACTCGTTCTGGAGCAAGAGCTGCCTGGTGTTCCAGGTCATTTGAGAGGAATGTGACTGCATCCAGACCACGACAGTTCTGCATATCACTAATCTCAATTGGAGAACTACTGCCTTAAGGAGCAGAGGAATGTGTTTAGTCCAAGCACTAAGAATAGCTTTGGGTGTATTTTGGATACTTTTTTTTTTTCTGTCTTCCTCTTGTTCCAAACATTTGGTTTAAAATTCCCTTCCCTCCTCCCCTTTTATTTATTTATTTTTTAATAGTTTGCCCAACACTTCTTCCATCCCAACATGTAAGGATGTGGGTCCATAACAAAACAATGCTGATGTATAGCCTTCTGTTTTCTTTCATGGAAGTGATAACTTACACTTTTTCATAGGATTGCTTAAATTACCCTCTCAAAATACCTTTGACCCTTTATTGCTGTTAAGTTGAGTATTTTTGAGGAGAAATAATCACGGAGATTAGCTTAAAATGTTTTGAACGATGCAGTTAAGTACAGTATCTCTAGCTTAACAGGAGTATCCGTTTTACAGATACAGAAAAGATGTTTTTAAGAGTTCAAACAAGTGATAAAATTTAGAATGGGTAAAAATTTAAAAAGGCTCTAAACCCCAGGTGGTGAACAGTTACTCCAGTTATTCCATCTATGACTTCATGTACTTTCCTTTGAAGCATTGAGTACTTGTCTCTTTTGGAGTTGAGATAATGAACCAGTCTGATAGGTAGATGCTTCCCTCCCAGAAGGAAGTTACCCAGGAGCCCCCATCTGACTCCAGCTGCATTTCACAGGACCACAACGGAAAGTCATGAGGGTTCAATTTTGCCTCTCCAGGAGCTAGTGAAAATTATGTGGGTAATATTTGGTGGGAAAACTCATGAGGCACTGAAAAGTCTTAAGATGAGTCTTTCTGGAAAATGTAGGTTAGTTTTGTGGAAAAGAGGAGGTTCTAAACTACTGCACTTGAGGGTATAACAAAGGAGGAGATTTGGTGGATAAGCTGTCACAGGTGATCATATGAGTCAGTCTAGCTCTTTAATCCTTGGGCCCTGGCTGTGGGATAACAGACCTGGAATCCATCCATGCTGGTCTGCTTAGCCAAGGAACCAGTTCCTGCAGGCACACACAGCCCTGTCTCTATTTCCTAACTTTTAAGAAGAGCTTAAAGGAGAAGCTCCCCACCCCAAGCACAGCATTGTGTCTCTAGCGGATTCCGAGTGCTGTCTGCAAACCTGCCGAATGGCAGATTTCACTCTCAGTGACTGACAGTAGTTGAAGGTGATTTTCTTTTTACATACTGTTGTGTTTCAACTGCTTGACCCTATTTCCTTGGAGCTGCAAATGGCTATAGACAGTGCCAGGCTGAACTGTTGGTTTGTGAGGTTTTGGGGTGTTCTTCCTGTGCTTGGTCATTGCAGAGCTCCCCTTCCTTGCGTGCACACTCCTCTTTGTGAGAGGGAGGTCGGTCTGCCTGGGAGCTTTCAGTGAGAGCTGAGCCACCCACGGGGAGGGGAACTGGGTGATGGCAGGTTTCTTGCGGAAAATATACATTTTTGTAAAAATTAAGTCCTTTTTTTTTTTAATTAAAACTCTCTTGTTGACTCGAGGAAGATGTATTTAGTTACTTGAAATCACTGAATACTTTAATATTGTAAGCCTAAAATGAAAACTGCATTTTTGTAAAAATTAAGTCCTTTTTTAATTAAAACTCTCTTGTTGGCCCGAGGAAGGTGTATTTAGTTGCTTGAAATCACTGCTGAAGATAATGAGTTGAATACTTTTACTATTGTAAGCCTAAAATGAAAACCGAATGCTGATTTAAAAAAAAAAAAAAATCCAAATTGTATGTGGTAGATAATAACAACCAAAGAACTGTTGTTACAAGCTCCTCTGCAGGTGACCTTGATAAGCAGTTGGTTCTGTGTTGACCCAATGTCTTCTCTTTCCTTCCCTTCCCTCTTCATCCAGCTGTTTCTTCTATTGAAGGTTTGAGTTGAGGGCAGGAAATGGGTGGGAGAAGGTGGAATATCATCTGCTATTTTATGCCCTCTAGGTATGATGAGAAATTTTTCCTTCAGTTGTTCTGATTATTGATGGAGAAGAACCATAGTAAATTTTCTTTCAACTTGCAGAGAGCGTTTGCGGATGGGTCTAGTCCTCCAACCATGCGCAACTGCCCGTGAGGAGCTCTGGCTTGCAGGGTGTCTGATGGCACAGGGAGGTTTTACTTCCCAATGCAACTGCCCTGGCCTTGGCCCGGGGCTGATTCCCTGCCTAACTTTTAAGGGAGATTTGCTTGTCAGGACTGATTGCAAAAGGTTTTACCTGGTATTCTGTAGCTAGCTGATGGGATACGGAATTATTTTGTGACTGTAGGTTTTTTGGAGGAAGAAAAATTGTTCAGTCCTTAGCAACTCGCAGAGAGGGATAGTTCAGGCAGCTCCTCCTGGGCTGCAGAAACAGTAGTGGTGGCCATGGTGAGAGAGAGATGCATTGACATGGTCAGCTGGAAGAGCATTCAAGACAGAGCTTTTAAGGTGCTGTCATTCCTTTAATGTCTTCTCCAAACACCTGCGTGAAAGTGATGAGTGGCTTTTGGAAGGAGAAGAATAACATTTAGTACACCTGGAGTTCCTATAGCAGACGCAAGCAATTTTGACACCTTCTATTGAGTTATCTAAGTCGGGCCTGCTGAGACGGGCAAGCAATTATGAATTTAACTGCTGTCATTAGCCAGCTCAGCAGCTCCTGCCCCCGGAAGAGTCATTGCAAGGAGATCTCCTGAGTAATTGTTAATTGCCTCCTCTCTTTGATCTGTTTTCATCTCTCCTGAATCTTTGTGGCACCAAAACAGATATCATAGGTGACTGGTTTGGTGGTTCAATCATCTGGTAGCAGTGCCCAAGTATGCACAAGCTGAAAATGAGTAGTGTTTTCCTGGGAAAGCAGAAGGGTGCTGTGATTAGGTAAACTGTGGAGGAGAATATAGCTTAGTATGTGTGCTTTGATGCATTAGGGAGAAAAATGCCAAACATAATATGATGTTATATAGTAAGTACTGAATATTCATTTTTTTAAAGTACAATTATGAATGAACATCATGTAAATAACTTTATCATTCTTAGGCTATAAAGTGGAATCTATTTTTCTGAGATTTGTTCTGGAAAATCTTTGATGCGTTTTGTTGTCTTGTGTTACCTATTATTTTTTCTTGCTTAGGCTTTATCCAGAAAAATACACGTCAGACTGGAGGATAATCTGCGCGCTGCAGCTGTCTAGGCCCCTGGGTTCCTAGCGCCGCTCCGCGCGCGGTGCCCGTAGGAGGCCGTGTCTGCGCGGGGCAGGCGCTCCGGCCGGGGCGGCCTCGCGATGCGGCGCGGCAGCTCCCTCGCCTGCGGTCACCGCTCCGGAGCCTCAGCCACAGCACTGTTGGATTCCTGCTCCATCTTCCTGGGCCCTGCAGTTGGAGTGTGTGAGCAGAGCTGGAAGAGGCTTTAGAAAGCACAGGACATGGTCTGGTCGTGCGTGCGACCATTTTAATTTCTAGCAAGTGGTTGTCCTTAGGAGCCAGTGCGCTCACCCTGGCAGGCTGTTATGCTGCTGATCAGACTTGCTCCCATCTGCTCAGGGCATCCTGGTGGACACCCTATTCCTATAATAGTCTATTTGTTTGGATCCTCCAGCTTTCCATAAGAACTGTCCTTAACAGCATCGGTAAAGGGAGAATATTCCCAAAGTCACAACTGCACTTCTCTTTTCCAGCAGGATTTATAGCTAAGATGCTGAATAGCCCTTTATGCATGGTTGCCTTCATCCTTCCCTCCTGAATGCACTGATAACCCATAAATAAAAGGGTACAAAGGACTCCCTGCAGCCGAACAAGGAAGCCCAAGGCTGCGGGTTCGGAAGGGCCGTGCTGGGGAAGCCTCGCTGCCCGCCGCGCTCCGCACCGTGCCGGCAGCTGGTGAGGGGCCAATGCTGCTGCGGCCCCCGCTCTTTTCTTGCCACCTTTTTATCTTAATTGAAGTTGATTTGTATATATATTTTTAATATACTGCCTACTTCCTTTTTCAAGTAATTCAGAATTTGGTATTTTTACGGTAAGGCATGCCATTTGCAGCTATTTGAAACGTAATTTAGCAGATGCAAAGCCAATGAGGTGCTGGAGCGACGTGTTTGATGTGCCTCACGCACTCGTGCAGGCGGCTGCCCCTGCCTTGCTGAGCAGTGGTGTGTTCCGGGCAGCGATGCGAGCAGCGTCTCTGCTGCGATGGCTGCTGCCTGGAGATTCAGGGCTGGAAAGGGAAATCATGCTGCAAATCAGCGAGGTGAAAGTCCCCAGCTGAACACTACATGTTTTCAGGTTTTGAAATAGTACTAACATAGATGCTGCTCCTGACATTGTGAGTCTTTTTACAAACATGATTTCAGGGTTTCCATTAGGGGTAAGATTCCGAGTTACTCCGTTCTTTGGGAGCTAATCTGGTCGCACACTTGCCGGGGGCATCTCGCCGTTGTCTGCTCTAATTAAATTGCTGCATGTCCTCCGTGTGCTGATCCCGGTTGTTTAGCGGCTCCTTGTGCCCATCGTTGTAACCCTGAAGCCTGCCGAGCTTCTGACCCCAATAACCAGTGGAGAGGAAAAGTCTCTTGTATACAGCCTGACTTTTTTAACGGATTTAAAAATCAATATGTACAATTGAAAGAGTA